GGCATTAACGTTGAGTTGCATCCTTTGGAAGTGCTCGACTATGGACCCCTTCACGTGGATGGACTTTCATAGACCCTGGAGTTCGGGGTTCAGGGTTGAGGTTTAGGGTTTACCTGAACCCCAAAAGTATGTAGAATAGTTATTCCCCTTTGTGTTGTTTTTAAATGTTTTGGGTTATTATTTTACTTACTTTTGGGGTTTGGGTAGGCTTTAGGGCTATTGCATTAATAGCCCCGTTGTAATCCTATTCTAGCTCTCTACAAGCAGGTTTTCCTAAGCCCTTGATTACTCCAGAGTCCCACAAAGTAGTGCCTTCAACCGTGTAAGATACCCACCACACCTTGCAGTGCACCATTATGCTACATTTATCTAGGGATGCTTTGAAATTATTTTACCGTTTGTGCTCATTCTAAGCTCAACATCTAGGATAAGTTTAGGGACGGTTCCGGGTCCGGGGCAGATTCAGTCATGCTAGCATGGTGCGATGCACACGACGGCCGCGCCGCCACCGGCTGCTGAAGGCTCTCAAAGCTGATCATTACCTCTCCTATCTCCCTCTCCTCTTGCGTCTCTCCGGGTTTTTGCAGTCGAAACGTTGGGGTCCAGTGCTTGGCAATTTAGAAGAATGATGCGCGAACAAGATCAAGAAGGCTATATTGAAGGCTATATTGAGGACTTTGACGGATCTTTCATGCTTGGGCGACTTCCCAGGCAGTGGTTCAGGGTTTAGGTCTAAGTTGGCGATTTCAACCCCTACCAGTATCTGAGCTGCCATCATGCTCCCCCCTTTGGTGGCCATCAGCCGCGGCGGGGGGCCCAGAGCATGAATTGCGAGTTCCGCAATGCCTGGACCTTCAAAAAGAGGATATATATATATATACACATATGTGCAAAACAATGGGTTTGTTCACTACTTTTAGGTTTTTTGGATTTTGCCCACTTTTGAGGTCCAGGTGTTCTAGCGAGGCTAGAGCAACAAGGGCGGTGCGTCATGGGGGGAGGTCGAGTTCAAGAACAAGTCTACTGTAGAAGCCGACAGGGGTTTAGGCTTCAGTTATGTTTCTTCTAGCCCTTAAACCCTAAACTATATCATAATCCCTTTTTAAAGTCACCCAAATGAAGTTTCCTCCTCCTTCCACTTCGCCGCGGGGGATTGAGAGGTTGACTTTCAACCTTGGGCTTGCTCGTGACGCTTAGGGCTTCATTTTCAGGGTTTAGGGCTTCAGGTTAAGGGTTCCAGGTTTGGGGTTAGGGGTTTCAGGTTTAGGATTTCAGGTTTAGGTTAAAGGTTTCAGGTTTAGGGTTAAGGGTTTAGGGTTAAGTGTATTCTGAGCATTTCGCAGCCTCGCAAGTCGCAGCCCAGCCCTGTGATGCATGACAGCTGCCAGGATAAATGGCTTCCATCAGTGTTCCGGATCCCCAACCCCAGAAGCTTTAAACCCTGGAACTTCCGTAGATCAAAGCCCCAAACACTGCAACACAGAGTGTAGTTGGGATGCAAGTCCCACTACAATTGTTCCCCCTGAAACCTGATCACAACAGCGCGCCCTCACCACGGAGTCCAGATAAGCTGTAACCTAAACTCCTTAAAGGGGGTTATATAGAGGATTATATAGGGGACTACTATAGGGCTTATTAAGGGGGATACTAGGAGTTTAGACAAGGGCTCATATGCATCAGCCGCTGTTCCCACGTTTTTGTTTTCCCGCAAAAAAACAAGCGAGTGGCTGAACTGTTTCATGCACAAGTTATTTATATGTGCTATAGTCTAAACTCCTAGTATCCACACTAATAACCCCTATAGTACTACCCCACATAATTCCCTATATAACCCCTCTGAGGAGTTTAGACTGAGCATGAAGTATGAAGAGTCGACCCCGTACGTAGTTGCAGGCTCCTCAAGGCAAGTCCACTTTTGGCTGTGCGGGTTACTTCAATGATTCCGGGTGATTTGGGTTATATTGGGATAATGGAAAAGAAAATGGAAGCTACTATTTTGGGTTTAGGGTTCTATTGGGGTTACTAATTTGGAGTTGGGGCCTTTTTTTCGGGGTGGCCCCAAACCAGGCACCCTCAACCCAAAACGCGAAGCCCTAAACCCTAAGCCTTATAACCATAAGCCTTAAACCCTCAACCTCAAACCCTAAACCCCAAACCTTAAACCCTAAACCTTAAGCCCTAAACCCTGAACCACAAACTTCCCCCCTGGAGCCAGACCGAAAGCAGAGACCTCCAGCTTTTGGCATGCTGAGGACGGGAGCCCAAGGATGTGGAGGCGACCGTCACATTTGGGGGTTTCCCAGAATTAGGGGTACCTTATTGGGGGTCCCCATAATAAGGTTTATACTATATTGGGTCTATATTGGGGTCCCCCTATTCGGGAAAATTATCATTTGGGGTCTTACAAAGTTAAGACTCAGTGTTTGAGGATGGGGATTTCGGGCTTTCTTGGGCATGGTGATGGATCTAAGGTATCGTAACAGCCCCAAAAAAGTACAACCGTTATGGTCCAAGATTCCCTGGACAACTTTGGTACAGGGCTGCGTCAAGTGACCACTACGTAACATTGACAATTGTTTCGGCCCCTTCAGTATACCCGAAGCCTGGAAACATCTTTCCTGGCGGCTCGGCATTTACGGCTCGAACCGAAATGGACGTGAGATCTTGAAGATGGGAAGGTTGAAAAGCCTGTTGCCTTTCGGGGTTTAGGTTCTAGGTTCATAGGTTCACATAGGGTTTGGAGGACTGTTGTTGCATACAAAGCACACGTAGAGGTGTGCATATGCTGTACTGCTCATAAGGTTCATTAGGTTCACTTACAGGACAATGGGTTCTGTTTGGTGCTCAGCAGAAAATGGGTGAGATATTTTGTGCTGTGTGCTCGGAGATTAGATGTGTTATGACGGTGATTGTTTCGACCCACGCGCTTGATGGTGCTTGTTACCGCTTAGCCGCTATCTTAACACGTTGTCAAGTTCTGGTGTTCTGTTCTATTGCTCGCACTGCAACCGCCACTACTGTTTTGTTCAGCAGCCACTGCTGCTGCTGCTGTGGTGGTGGCTATTATGCTCTTGCTGCTCTCGCTACTACGTGCTGGCGACCTCAACCTGGAAACTCAAGCTTGATGACTTCTGCAAGCCATTGACAAGCTTATAGTAGTCCCTATATCATCCCCAACAAGACAGAAGTTTCCATTTCCTCGTCCAGTCCTTCGTTCCCTGCTAGCCAGAGGCAAGCTTTTTGACCGCCATGTCAAGGGACTTTAGGAGGGACCCCTAGAAGGGACTCCTAATCCCATTGCCTTATATAACCCTTATATAGGCCTTATAACCATGGCAGGCTGTAGGCAAGAAGCCTGTGGTCAGTGATCGATTTGCAGAGAAGGCTGCAAACTTCAAGGCAGGGTCTGAGGATGGATGGGTTAGGGTTTAGGGTTTCAGGATGGATGGGTTTAAATCCTACACCCTTTTCCTGGAATGCTGTTAAGGGCCTTAAATTAAGCTACCATAATGGGTTTATATAGTACTTAAATTTGATTAATGTGGTTTCCCCCAGTATAGTAACTTAAGCTCAGTTCCTTAGCAGCAACGCAGTTTGAGGGGATTGAGGCCCCTAGGCTTCGAAACATGAGGCACCCAACACCCCCTAACAGTGAGGTGGTTCTTTCAGATTTTGGAAAACCCTAAACCCTAAACCGTAAACCCTAAACCCTAAACCCTAAACCCTAAACTGTTTGAGCCGGATTGTAGGACCACCTCCTCAGACCACGTTCAACACACCCATACGGAGGTCTCTATGAACCTCCGAATTCAGACGCTCATTTACCATAATCGGTTAGGGATTTGGGCCTTGTGGACTTCGGGACGGGGGCAAATTCTTGAAGCCCTTCGCCCTAACCCTGAACCTTAAACCCTAAACTCCAACCCTAAAACCTGAAGACCCCCAAGTGGCTTTGGGAAACCCAAAAGATTAGGTCTTTTGCTACATTCTGAGAGGGGGATGAGAAAAACTACCCATGAATTTGGAGGATTTTGTCAAGACAAGTCCGTTTGTATAGAGGATTATGTAGGGTGTAGGGTTTAGGGTTGTTTACATTGGGGACTATAAGGGGAGTGGGGTATTAAAGGGGGATACTAGGAGTTGAGAATATGGATTATATTAGAGAGAACCTCCAAGTAGTTCAGTAGTCTGCAGGTTTCGGTCAGCGCTGTCTGTCAGGCCCCGTGGAGCAAACAGTTGGGATGATGAAAAGCCTGCACCGAAATATCTACACCCTAACCGTGGGGCTTTCAGTCTTTTAATATGAACTACATTCGGCACAAAAGTCTACAGATACCTGGAAAGCCTAGTGACCATTAAAAGTTGCTACTGCTGAAAGTGCCAGGAAGTGGCCTCGAAAGCCAGCACTGCATTATCTGGGTTTGGAAGGGTCTCCAGCTATCTTCAGGATTCTTGGGCTTGGGATTGGCAAACTTTGCTCAATGCACTGACTTGTTTGAATCTGCCCCATTCCACGGTGTAACAAACCCACATAAACCTCGTATCTGTAGGAATAATTCCCACACACGGAAGGAGAAAGTCCATTCCTGATTTGCAGAGGCACGGAAGAACCTGAACCCAAAAGCTTGCAAGCCCTTTCCCACATTTGCACCGCAAGCCCTCAATCCAGAGTTCGTACCCTGCACCCACCGCCTGATGCTCATGGACAAGATTGCGATGAAATCAAGGACTGTGGTTACTTCTTGCGTGGGTTCTTTTGACATCTTACCACTGGGCTTTCAGGCGTAACAAATATTTTTTGATTGTGCGAACTGCGAGGGTGCGTGAGGATACAGTCCTCGAAAAATTGGCAACCCTCCCAACAAAGTCTTCGTCCATTTGAGTGGCGTAGGATAAAGGACACATACTAGGGGCATTCTGAGCCTTGTCGTGTTGCAAGGTGAAGCAAACTTCCCCAGCCATGTGGAATTTTGGCTGCAGTTTCCACCTGCATAACCCACGATTGAATGCGCTTTGCGCAAGGATGGCCCAAGTTTTCAAGAAGTTCACCAGATTCTTCACCATTAAATCCCTCTGCCTCACAGTGAGCCACAACCCGGAGTTGTAGCACACATGCATGAAGGTATTGGCGAAGCCCAAGAGCTGTACGATCTGAGAAAGGTATGCGACATTAAAACTGTAGTTCTCATCATGGCTGAGTTCCGGAATGATGCTCTCCAGCTTGTGCTGCATGAACTTGCAAAGCACTGTGGTGTCCGCACCTTTAAACCAGGACCTGAAGTTGATAGGAATTCGTTTGTAAAACTTGTACAATGTAACATTGAACAATTTCGGAAACAAATATTCAACAATGGTTCTGTTATGAGACCGTGGGCCCAGCGGGGTAGTCTGTGCTACGAGTCAGTCCCAATTGCTGCGTTGTAAGCTTACACATGTGAAGCTCGTAGTTCTTGCCGGCGCAGAAGGCACGAGCATCCTCGTAGAGCACATGCATATATTGATCCAGAGACTTCAGCTTCAAAAGGTCGAAGTCATAGAAAGTAACCTGATGAACAGAAAACATGCACTGCATGGCGTCCGCAAAGGAGATTAACACCAACCCCCAGATGAGATCAACCACAATTTTCCCCACTGCTTTGAGACATTTATAAGACTACTTGGGCAAGGTTTTGATAGGGGAGATACTGCCAAGGAACCCAAGTATCACATAGCGAGCCGCTCATATGGTCTTTGTTTACAGATCATGAGGATACTAGCGAAGATGAACGTAAATAACAAAGATGGATACCTTATCTAGGCGTAGAAGGAGTGGCCTCCTATAGTTGTTAGGGGAGGTATTATAGTTGGGATCTATATGGTTATAGATTCAAGAAATTGGAGTTATAAGACTCATAGGTATAGTTTTATAACTAGGGGGCCCCTCCTTGTATGTGGGTTCAAAACGGGTTGATGAGGCAGCTTTCTATAGGTTCTTTCGAAGAAAAAGCCCGTAAATCCACCTAATCAAACAAAAGTGGGAACCGTAAGATGGCTTATAGATCTAATTGCCAATTTGGACAGCACATAACACAAAAAGTTTGCACAATCACTCTTTTGTGGAATGGATTTCGCACACCCTCTGGAGCTAAACTGTTCCGTGAGCACATATGGTAAAGTTTTCGCTGCTAAGTTTTGAGGGAAGCCTGCGCTATATGACCAAGACACAATAGCATTTGCTGCAGCATCAGCAAAAACACCTTTGTGGAAGGTGTGAAAGAGATCGATTTTGAAGAAATCAGCCACATGCTTGCTAGAGACCGGAAGGTTGGAAATGATACCAGGCGTGCTAGTCCAGGGAACAGGTACGTCGCGCCGCATCGCCAGCATGTTTTCATAGCTAACATCGTGCCAGCTGTGGCCTTCTTGACCTCCCAAACAGCGGTGGCAAATTCCGACACCAGTGTTCGTCGACCATGTATCCCGGAGGTGGTGCCTTCGAAGTTGCCCTATCTTGGTTAGGGCCGGCCAGTCCCCCTTCATGCCGAGAGTGCAGAGGAAGAACGATCTCTCAGTGCCATCGCGATCTACTTTGATCGGGCGGTGAAAGCAATCCGCAAGATCCCGCGCAAAATGATCGACCAATGCTAAGAGGGGTTTGTTTTTGTTCTTCTTTCCACTGTACATCCTGCCTGGCGTAACAGAGTAAAGGAATCGAGTCGTAATGCTGACCCCGGTGTAGTTCAGACCTTCACCTCCTCTGGATGTGCCAAACCCCAAAATCGGCTGACATTGTATCACCATTAAAGATCGCTTCTTCTGGGATGTGCCCTCATCGGCGTGGATCCACATGGGAACCACTTGCCCAAGACGCCTGCCACGCTTGCGAAAGACTGGATGGTCTGGTTCAAGACAACGCCAGCGCTCCCAAAACGATGCAAAATCAGTTTCGTCGTGTTCTGCAAACAGAAGGTTCAGTTTTCCTTCATCAGACAGCCCTGTTATGAAATCTCGCACGCCTAGCACGGGATGCTGTAGCTTCAAACCAATGCTAACCCAGGAAATGGGAATTTGTGCTGCCAGCCCATAATCTTCCATCGTACGACCCAATCGATTTTCATGACCAGTCTCCTTCAATCTCCCAGCATCTTGCAGGAATTGAGCACTCGGAATGGATTGAACACCAGGTAAATCCTTGATCTCATCCCAAATCGATTTGACCAGAGCGCAAGCCTCCGCTTCAGAGACCTTGCAGGCATTCGAAGAGCAGACAACACAATTTCAAAATATGTTTAAACTTCAGCATATCACAGAAAAGCATTCATCTTTAAACATGCTTTTGGAGGGTGAAGTAGATCATTTCATCCGAAAACACAAGTATCATTATACACAAATTCTGTAGGCACAAAAATTTGGGGGGGAAATAATCTTAAGACCACCAAACATTGCTCAAGAAGACCAGACCGGCCCCTTTGCAAACTGCATGTGCCACACCCTTCGCAGCAGGACCCACACGTTGCACCGATGGAGTCGGAGTCGCTGACCCTGCGTGGGCAGGACGACGCATGCAGGGGCTTATATAGGGTTTTGGCAGGCATTGCAAACATACATTGGTAGCACGCAGCTTGAGTGACTGCATTTTCCAGGCACTTCACCAGCGCGTTTTCTCCCCAACAAGTTGGCAAACCAACTTGGATAGCTCACGGAAGCAGTTGTGTACGTAAGGCTTCAGGCGCGTAGTTATTTGTTGAAGTTATGCAGGATTGCATGCTGAAGTAGTAAGCAAGATTATTGGAAGCAAAGGGAAGGTGCAACTGAAGCCGCATACACTTGTAGCCCCAAAACTCCAAAGCATCATAAGCTCTGCGGGAAGGCTGACGGATCCTTGCCGGCCCGATGGAAGTTGGACGAGGCTGGTCCTGACACTTCTGTTCAACATGAAAGCATCTCTATATTAATTACAGTAACATCTGGTGATTAGAGAGATTGCAGTGCAGGCCTCACTGCTGCTTGGCCTTGGCTTTCGCTTTACCCTTTCCCGAGCCCTTGCTGCCCTTGGATTTCCCCTGGCCCTTTCCTCCTCCCTTTGGGGGCGCACCAGTCTCCTGCCAGAGAATTGCCCATCCAGAGCAGTGTTATTGGCTGCTAAATTGCATGACAGGCACCTTGTCGGCATCCTTTCGCCGCAGCAGAGTCCTGGGCGCGAAGGCGAGCTTGAGGTGTGGGCGGCCACATATTGTGGTTTGAGATTCTTTGGGTGCTTGTACAATTGTTGCGGGGAAACCTTTCTTTAGCGGGGCAGTGGGTCTACAAAGGGTAAAGTGGAGGTTTTGGGGTTGGTACGCAGCACACAACTGCGGATCCTGTCTGAGGGCGCGGGTGAGAATCTGCTCCTTATAACGCTGTATATGGGGTTCCTTTGACAATGTCTTACCCTAAACAATTTTGGAGGAGTGATAACATAAGTTGGATCGAGGTCATGGTTATCAACTTTCAAGGAAGACTATACAGCATATTGGGTACACACATGTTTCTCCATTTCCTGGGACACTGTGGCCAGAAAGTTGGTGGCAATGGAAATGGTAAGGCGCAGACTTTTTGAGCTTGGTATCCTCCATCACAGCCCTGCTGCACCTCAGGTAGTGCACGCACAGTGCAACGCAGGGAAATCGTAAAGTCTGAAATTCCCCTTTGCGCACCATGACAGTAAACTGACAAGCTTACAAGCACCCAAGGTATACAAAGGTCCCGGGGCCCCAGACGCAGACTCCACCTTGTGCACCAAGCCTTTGAGCTCGGTAGCTCTCTTCCTGAGGAAAGCATCGCAGGGATTGGGGGCAGAATCATACAATAGCAAACAGCACAGGATACTTAAGCTAGTTTGCAGGGATATTGCAAGTGAGTCTCGGATCCACAGTTTCCCCATGGCCATCGAAGTAGGACTTCAAATCGGCAAGCTTATCACGCAGCACCATGATCTGATCGATGTGGGCTTGCACGTTCCTGATAGACCTTAGGTGATTCTCATTGTTGGGAGGCCATTTTTGAACATGACTCTTGAATACTATATGTAAGATTCAGCGAGGAGACTCTTTGGCCTCATCTGTTCCCAGCTCACCCAACTTCTCACACGTGCCCCGCAGCTTGCCCTGCGTGCGAAGGATATTTGTCATGACACCGGCGACGCTGTCCACGGCCTGCGCTGAGAAGCAGCAAGGCCAAGTAGCATCAACTGGAGTGCGTTAGTTTAGGGGTTGGGTTTGAGAAGGTTCAACAATCAACACACGATATGAAGCACACAAACTGAGAAGGGATCTCATAGAAGGATAATGTGCTTGAAAGTACATCTTTTAATCATATAGGGCCCTATACATTATTGACTTCAACGAAAACCCCCACACCCCTATATCTCAGCACCCCAGACTCCCATTACACTACAACATGATGGCATTCCCCACGTAGGCGAAGGTTTGCAAAACATCTTCCACTAGAGAGCTCTTCCCCACCATCAAGCAAGGGCACAAAAGGGTTCAGGGTAAGTTTGTACAAGGGTGTGTTTTACTGCTGGCCTCCAACGCAATCTCCTCCTGCAGATCATCCTGCTTCTGGGCGGAGGATCTGTTCTTACCCTTTCCCCGAGCACTAGCACCATCTTCTTCATCAGTCTCGTCATCTGAGTTCTCCTCGTTGGGTATGCGACCAACTCCCATGGGGCCATCAGCGCTGATCCCTCCCATGACGAAGGAGTCGGCTTCCCAGTCGCAGAGGTTCCCTCTGCGATCTCCTCCCCAGACTCTTGCTCGAAAGTGCCTTTCTCAGAGATCTCGATGTAGTATTGCTTCAATTTTCGCTGGTACTTGTCTCTCCTGCGGCACACTCTTTCAGGAATTTAGTAAAGCAAGCTACGTACCCATCCAAGAATTGTCAGCCCAACCCCAGCAGCAGTCCTAATCAACTCCTTGGGGCGCTGATTGCAATACTCAATAGCAGCCTTGATTCGATCCCTTAGTGCAAGTGGCGCATGGACATCAAGGGCAAAGTTTAAAAGGACTGCGTGCCTGACCCTACCCCTTGTAAACACGATCGCATAGGGCCCTACTCCTTGAAGTTGAGCTCCGATTTCATGGCGGCGCGGGTAAAACAGCCAGATTCAATGATCATCTTGGATTTCCGGCTCTTCTTGCGCAGGTGCTCAATCTTCCTAAGGAAAGTTTCCTGCAAAGGGCACTATAGACATAGCGCTGCTTATCCATGGAAGGTTCTGAGCAACGACATGAGCACCAAGCAGTCCTTCGATCCCAAGTTGCAGAGTTCTTGGACAAGGAGCTTTCGGCGGATGCCTCCTTTGGCCCACTGTTCATAGACGGCGGGGCTCACTTCCATCTCGCCAGTTTTGGCTTTCGGCGTGCACATTCGTCTGAGTTGCGCGTCTGCAGCAGCAATGCGCTTTTCCTCGTCCGTTTTCTCCTGCAAGGGTACGTTCAGGATTTACAGGCAGGCGGGTTTCTAAGGCATAGATGCACAATGGCTATAGCTGTCCTTCTTGGGCTTGGCTGCAGGCTTTGGAAGGGGTTCCTGAACAGAGTCAAAAAGTGTGCGATTCAGGTCAAACCTTATGTATGTAAAGCGCATGGCTTGGGATCCTCAACCTTCTTCGTCTTCTCAGGGGTAGAGGATGACGATCCAGTGTCCTGGGGTTGCAAGGGAAGTATACTTCAGTAAGGTACAGCCGCGCAATTTGGAATGTAAAGGTATCAATCAGGAGGTCCTCAGCAGCAGCAAGCTTCTCATCTAGATTTTGCTTGACTGGGGGAGGGGGTGGCTCACTTGAGCTGGAAGGCTCTCCTGCATTCTTGGCGGGTCGACCCTTTCTTTTCTCAGGAGCAGCGGATGCGGCTTCAGAATTTGGGGCAGCGGCAGGCTTGGATTTGCCATCAGGCCGGGGCGCCTTTGGGTCCGGGGTGACTCCAGTGTTCTTCACTTGGGACGTTGCTTGCATCTCAGCAAGACGCCGCTTAGCAACCTCACATTCACATGAAATAGCAGATTTGGAAACTCCATGTAAACTGACAACAATCGGTAAGGGTTGCAATATACGCGTGTCCCTGCCCGACAGCTTCCTCTGGGTTTCTCATTTGGGTTTACAGGGTCTATAGTGTATATACAGTTCTAGGGTTATAGGCGATATAGGGTCTCTAAGGTTACCAGAGAGAAATGACACATTGTCCTCCTGAGAACACGCTAGCTTTCTTGCGTTTGATACAAGTAGCTGCGATAACATCCTCAGCGGTCATGTTCTGCTGCAGTGATTGTTGTTCAGCTAGGAAGGAAGATCCACGCAGCAAGGTCTCGCACGACCACATTCTAGATATCACCTGGCTGGAAGGTTCAGTGGCGCCAGCTGCCGGCTTGGACAAGGCCATCCTGGGCCTGCAACTCCTATACTCAAGTCAAGCTTCTTGAAAAAACTCTAGAAGCACCAGCAGCATCTTGCAAAGCTGTGCACATAAGCCGTGCAACAAGGTTGAATAGGAGGCAAGAACGGGACAGAGACATGAGCGCCTGACCAATGTCATTTTTTGCGTGCTGGAACAGAGCCCGCCAGCGCACCCCCTTTCTGGTGAGTATCATAATGTGGCTTCGGGATTCAGAAAGCCAAAATTTGGACGAATCCAGCTGGGGAGGTC